GTAGTTTCAGATAAATCAAAATTGTATTTTTTTCGTCGGTGTTGTTTCCTTTCTTGGATAGATTTAAAACTTTTTTATGTAGGCGTTCGCAAAAACATGCGGTATRAAAGCCCTTATAGATATCAGTTCCGATTCGATTCTAAAGTAATTCAAAGTGGATCAGATTAAGTTACCGACCACGCACATTTACAAGCAAATAGCTTTATTTTTATTCACAGTTAAGCCAATGTRCTTTCTTAGCGTCCTAACCATGCACCAGGATGCTTTGCCACAAGGACCATTAGACAACGTATTTCAAAAACTGTGTGTTAGAGTTTTATAATGGTCCTTGTGGCAATGCATCCTGGTGCATGGTTAAGATCATCTTGCTTATTACATCAAATGTTATTGATACAGACTGTAATTTATTTTGGTTATGGGTTCAGTTTAAACGTGGTGTAGGATTTAACCGTCATTTTTGGCACTGAGTATCTTATAAAGTCTTTCAAGAGTACTTAATCTTTTAAAGCTCGCCATAAAACTAAGATAGAGTATAGACTCCTGAGTATTGGGCAATACGGAGACAAGAGATGAAACATTGTCATAAAAGAAATCCCTTTTCCAAGCCAATAAGCCATAGCACTAACTATGTTTGTTATTTACAAACGCCAACAACACCAACTGAATATCCAACTTGCTAGTTTACAATTCTCTAATTTGAACTCGTCTCTCTTGTCTTAGTCAGTGTCTTCAAAAAAATTATCCCAGGAGCAAAGTTCTTTGAAAAATCTAATTAAATAATCGAATAATAGTAGTTGAATGATTTTTTTGAAAGCATCTGTATGACTAGTTTACTACTTAACTCGAGCTAGGAAAATGTATTTCAATAGTAGTTAACTAAGTGGCTTTTGACTTCGATTGTGTTGCCTTATACACAAAGTTCAAAGTATTTTTTTAAATATCAATCTTCAAGTAATTCAGCAGTCAAAGTGATTGCGAAAAATTTTGGAAAAGTCTATTAAAGATGTTAGTTAATTTGGGTCAACAGAAAATGCAGCATTTGAAGTCTTTAGCTTATGTTCTTTTGTAGTAAAGTCTTTACCTTTTTAGACATGCTTCGATGTGCCTTCGTTTCATCGAGTTTTGTCGTCCATTGCTGTCAACGACAGGGTTGAGTCCTTAAGMAGAAGTAAGCAAAATTCAACACCAGACTGGTCGCTAGACGCCTTTTACTGAATATAGGACAGGAGCTCTTAATTTGCATAGTCAAAACTTGGTAAAGGATTTGYGTCCTTAGATCAAAGTAAATAAACTGTCAGCGGCGTGGATTTGGAACTAAATTCACTATTTGTGGGGGAGGGGGCGGGTATAAGTTTTTCTTCCCATATTACTTTTTTTTTTTTTTTTTTTTTTTTTTCCTTTTTTTTTTTTTTTTTTTTTTTTTCGTCTATTTTCTAACCTTTCACAGAAAGAAA